ACCGTTCCACCATCCGACTCCACATTCCCTGGCTACACCACCTTCCGGCTGGATCGAACAGCACGCGGTGGCGGAGTGGCGGTATGGATCAGATCTACACTCCCAGCCATGGTAATTGATGAGTTATTTTCTCCACATCACGAACTCATTTGGCTATCCATTCAATTGTCCCCTGGACAAAAGATAGTCTTGGGCGCTGCTTACAGGCCAGGTTCGACGGGGCCCAGTGACCTTACGCTCATTAACCATCTCGATGACATCCTTCCCTCTGCTCGTGCACTTGGTGCCAACCTCATACTCGCCGGTGATTTTAACGTGCATAACCGCAATTGGCTCCATAGCTCGAAGACCACACCTGCGGGGGAAGCCCTCGAAGACACATGCACAGCCCACTTTCTCACGCAGCACGTTCAGAGTCCTACTCGCGGGGATAACACACTCGACCTGGTGATGTCCACGTTCAACTCTCCAGTGACCACGCAGATAATGTCCCCTATTGGTCGATCTGACCACGCTGTAATTCTTTCGGACTTCACAGGTGTTCTTCCTACCCATGAAGCGGCGGTGCAACGAACTGTCTGGCGCTATGAAAAGGCAGACTGGAACCGCCTCCGATCCTTTTTCCGCCAGGTTGATTGGTCAACCGTCATTACTCCCAACCCAGAAACTTCGTGTGAGCACGTTACTGCCACAATCATGAAAGCCGTTTCCCAGTTCGTTCCGTCCAAGACACTGACAGTGAAGTCAACGGATCCGAAATGGTGGACACCTGAGTGTGCAGCCGCCATGAAGGAGAAGGACAAACGCTGGCGCACTTGGAGGAAGCACCCTCACGATTTTGCACTGAAACATGAGTTTACCCGTTCTGTAAACAATGCTATCGCAGTCCTCGCTAGATCTAGAGTTTCCAAAGAGAACAGCCTCAGACATAGCTTGTCGAATGGGTCCCTGAAGGAGAAGGAATGGTGGACAAAGCTAAAGTGTGCTTGTGGCGAGGGTCGGAACACTGACATTCCCCTGCTCGTTGATAGTGAAGGTTGCGAGAGGGCCACAAGCTATGAGAAAGCGGAGGCTTTCGCACGTTTCTTTTCCCACAAGTGCAGTGTGCAAGGCCGCGACCTTACCACGATGGACTTACCGGACACGGCATTCGCTGACGCACCTGCACTAACGACAGTCCACTTTCGCCCGGATGCAGTCCACCGGCTTTTAGCTCGCCTGGATGCCTCAAAGGCGACTGGACCCGACGGTATTTCCGCTCGTGTCTTGAAGGAATGCGCCAGAGAACTTGCCAAGCCACTGTGTCAGCTCTTTGCTCTTTGCTTCCAGCACGGAGTCCAGCCACAAATGTGGAAGACTGCCAACGTGGTTCCAATCCACAAGCGATCTTCACGATCCGCCCTAAGGAATTATCGTCCAGTTTCACTGCTGAGCATAATCTCTAAGATCATGGAGAGCGTTATCAATCGTCAGCTCATGAATCACCTTGAGCGTTACAAACTCCTGACACCCCACCAGTTCGGGTTTCGTCGCCGCCTCGGGACCTCAGATGCGCTACAGGCTCTACACCACGCCTGGATCACAGCCGTCGGCCGAGGCGGTGCAGCACGTATTCTAGCCGTGGATATTGCCGGAGCATTCGACCGTGTGTCCCATGCTGGCCTCCTCCACAAAGTCCGCCATCTTGGCATTGGCGGTCCCCTGCATACCTGGCTCTCTTCCTACCTAGGTGGACGGTCCATTCAATGCTTGGTGGGCGGCCAAACCTCATCGCTGTATACCATATCAGCAGGAGTTCCCCAAGGGAGCATACTCGGCCCTACACTCTTCCTGATTTACGTGAACGACGCCTCAGAGACCCTGTCACCCGGAGCCCACCTGGAGGCGTACGCCGACGATACTACCTTGTACAGCCTGATATCCCTCGACACATCCCCAGCCGACGCAGCATTGAGCCTCCAGACTTCTGTTGATCGCTTGCATCAGTGGGGCCGCAGATGGCGCATCTCCTTCGAACCGTCGAAGTCCCAAGCCATGACCGCCACTCTCCGCAGAACCCCCATCAATTTGCCTCGTATTGTCTTCGGCGGCACTCCTGTCCTTGAGGAGAAGGCGCTCTCTTTACTTGGAGTGACCTTTGACTCGAAGCTGTCATTCAGCACTCATCTCCGGAAGGTTGCCACTCGAGCCAAACAACGCCTGGGCTTCCTGCGCCGTGCAGCGCACATTCTCTCTCCAGCCGGCCGCACCACAGTATACAAGGCATTTGTTCGACCAGTTATGGAGTATGCCCCCCTCATCTGGATAGGTGCTCCGCCCAGCTACCTGCAACGCCTGGATCATATCCAACGCTGTGCTCTGCGAATCATCGGTCCAGGTGCACTATTACCTAGCCTGGCCATCCGTCGTACTGTTGCCTCGCTTGCCTGCCTATACAAGCTGCATTACCTGCCTGGCCCTCCGCAGCTGCTCTCTGTTTTGCCACCGCGCCATTTCCCCTCATCCAGCCCCAGAACTCGCAGCGAGCATGGTAGCGTCATTGGCCATGACCACCAGCTCCAACACCAGCTGCTTGCATCTGTCCCGCTGGCATTAAAGCGCTCGTTCCCGCACTGCAGTATTAGTGACTGGAACTCCCTCCCCGCCGCTCTTCTGTCCCAGCCTCCCCACAGCAAGGGAATGCAAGCATTCAAAACTAATGTTTATCGCCATCTGCGAAGCACAAACTGGCTCTGGGCAGTCGACTCGCTATGATGATGCTCTCGTCGTTCTCCTCTATCCCTATCTATGCACCACAACTGGCTCAGACAACCGACTCGCCATGATCAGCCATGATGATGCTCCTCTCAGTAACAGCCCTTGTAATTTGTTAATAGTCTCACAGTTTCTCCCGCACACTCGCTGATGTTAACCCTTCCTTTCTTTTCATTTTGCTGACTCGTACAGCTCTATCCTTTGTTTTTGGTGCGTGTTTTTGGCCGTGATGCCGAGACCTCAGGTCGGCAGAGCCATCAATGCCCCACCATCACTGCTGCGTCTCGGTGCAGCCCCTGCTCAATAGTTGTCACGTTCGTCCTAGTCTCAGTATCATTGTCTTTCTTTATTATTTTCGAGCTGGGAGTGTGAACATAGTAAAAAAAAAAAAAAAAAAAAAAAAAAAAAAAAAACATGTAGATGGAGAGTGATCTCCTGACTGCTGACATACTTCGAAGTACTGTAGTTATTTCATTGGAGAGGATTGCTAACATGGCCAACACATGAGTAATGTGGAGCTTAGCAATGAGTTCTGTCGTCCTTTCTCCTCGTCCACGATCACTTCTCGCGTGCTTGTATTGCCGCTACTAGCATCCCGATCCCAGATGTAGTGTCCACTAACAAAATGCGACTTCAGCTCTGTCAGCTGCCTAGAGGCATGACACAGTACGGCTGGCATTGCTACATGCAAACGTGAAACCTGCAAGAAAGCACCACTCCCTGCTGAATACACAGTGTTTCGGGGAATTCACCCCTCATCAGTTGAGCTTGAGTAGGCTGAGGAAGATTGTGCCTGAAGACTCGTGAAGAGCACCACTTATATTGCTCTCCGGGCACAACCATCACCAGGGATACAAACTTACAGAGACGCTCCGTTTCCACCCGCAACCACTATTTCGTACAGGATTGCACATACAGCAATATTACAATGCCAGCCGTACTGTGTCATGCCTCGAGGCAGCTGACAGAGCACCCCAGATGGGAGTGAAAATGACACTTGCCTGTCTGCTCATCGCCTGGGTCGCTCATCCCCCTGTCATTGTGTCAGTGCACGAAATTTGCGCGCCTTTTTTACCATACTCATCGAAACGCAAGTACAGTGTACATCAATGACTATGTATATGGACATGGTCACGAGTTCTCTGCTTCGGGGCCACAGTCAGTAGCATCGTCTTCTTATCTCTGGTCATCTGTTAGTGTGTTGCTTGCTGAAGACGCATTTCGTCCACCCATCAAGAAGACAAAGGGCCGCAACATGTATGGACGTGTTGGTGAATACAATCATGCACAATCCGTCATGTACATGTACGTGTAGGTCACAATGGCGAGCTACATGCAGGTGCAGGTAATGAATCCCCCAGCCCCCGCCCCCGCCCCCTACGGCAGCTCTCCTGTGTACATGTATATTGCACTATCATGCACCTTCTTGCTATACCATTACCAGGACATACAGGTGACTTCCCACTTCAGCGCCTGATCTCACCGTACTGTATAATGCACGTGTAATATGTACTTGAAGTACATGTAACGCTAATATGGATGGGCCAGTACATGTAACGCTAATATGGATGGGCCAGTACATTGTTAATTTGTTACGTAAACGATCTGCCGGAGCAGGGGTTTTTCTTAGCAATCGAACCAGAAATAATTAGTCATCAATCGACTCCGAGTTGAAACGAGTCAGCTCCTTGCCATCTCAAGTCACTGCGTGAATACACAGCGGATCTTTGTGAAAAGGGAGTTCCCTCTGAAACAAGTCTGGTGCGAAGGAACTACAACGATCATGTACATCATGTATTATGACCGTCTTTTCCATTCACATTACAATCAGTCATGATCCTCGCTCTCCACAGTGGTTGCATCATCTAGTCCTCTCGGAAAACGACCCGCACACGTGAATATCCGCATCCACCAGCACAGTTACACAATGTGGATCGGGCGCTGGCAGTGGTCCAAGCCGTCGGCTGCCAAGGGTAATAACCCGCACGCAGTGAGAACCATGTGAACATCTCTCATTGCTGCCGCCAATGTGTCGCTTCCACTGCCACACTGAAGCATACATGCTGCATGACGATATCATTAGTGATACGTTCGTGAGGCAATTGCGCGACACGGTGCGTTCACATACGGGTATGATGTCTTGCAAGCAAGCGGGGGCGACGGGAATATTATCCCGACGACGCATGGCGACTCACGTGCTTTCGAACGCAGCAACGCACAAACGAGTCCTTAAAACATCGGTAAACACGAATGCTGTGCTCAGTACTAGTAGCTGTGAAAGACGAGCGGAGGCGCGGGTGTATATAATCGCCAGATGATAACAGCCACACAAAGGAAAGTAGGGTTTGTCGTCGTAACTAAGAGTTGCATGGTAATACCCAGTCATCAGCGAACAGTCAAGGAGTTTGGAAGCAGCGAAAGTATAAAGCCAACGCCAGATCATTACTTGCCAAGGACTTAGGTCAGAGTTACTAGTACGTTTAAAGGTGAAGTCAAGCGCACCACGGGTAACATCTAAGTTGCTGATGTGAAGTTTCGCTATCTCACCTACACCTAGCTAAGGAGATCGAGAGGAGCGTGCATGTTCTCAGAGAGGTAGAAGCTACCCCACACTAAGCCAGCATTGCGCCGACATCGCGAACTTCCGGCTTCTGATCTCCAGTTCGGCTCCATCGTATGAAAGGTGAGTGTCGTTATAATGCTAGTGCTAGATCGCTTGCTTTTCAGTCCACCAAACTGTCCAACCGTCCTGCTTTGAGCAGGACAGTCCTGCTTTGGACCAAAACATTCGTATACATTTACATGGGACACGATTGCCTTTGTATACATTGTAATTGGGTGTCCTGCTTTGGAATGGTGGCAAGGTTGGACAGACTGGTCCACTGTCCTTTCAACTTCAATGTCTTGTGTGAAAATCAGAACTGGTAACAGTACTGGAGGATGATCAAGTGTCCCAGTTTGGCCCAATTCCGTTCCCTGTATTGTGAATGTCCGCCATAGGCTGGAGCAGCGGATGAATTGGCGCTGTGGAGGTAGTTAGCTACATGTATAGTGATAGATGCGATAGCGTAGATGTGTTTGCCTGTATGTACCAGTAGGTGATTGGTGGTGATGCTGAGTGATGCTGGGGAATAGGTACATCTCAAAGCCAGTGAGTGGCACAAGCGCCAAAACTGGAAAAAAGCCACATGCCGCTTCATATCATACATGTCGATAGGCGTCAGCCTTTGGACAATCCTGAAATAAAGATTATTATAATAGTGTCTCATGCAGATCATGAGCTGCTGAATCGTAATGATTGTATCTCTCTCTCTCTCTCTCTCGCTCTCTCTCGCTCTCTCTCTCTCTCTCTCTCGCTCTCTCTCTCTCTCTCTCTCTCTCTCTCTCGCTCTCTCTCTCTCGCTCTCTCTCTCTCTCGCTCTCTCTCGCTCTCTCTCTCTCTCTCTCTCTCTCTCTCTCTCTCTCTCTCTCTCTCTCTCTCTCTCTCTCTCTCTCTCTCTCTCTCTCTCTCTCTCTCTCTCTCTCTCTCTCTCTCTCTCTCTCTCTCTCTCTCTCTAGCTCTCTCTCTCTCTCGCTCTCTCTCTCGCTCTCTCTCTCTCTCTCTCTCTCTCTCTCTCTCTCTCTCTCTCTCTCTCTCTCTCTCTCACACACACACACACACACACACACACACACACACTCTCTCTCTCTCTCTCTCTCTCTCTCTCTCTCTGTCTCTCTCTCTCTCTCTCCGTTATCTATCTATCTATCTATCTCTCAAAGTATCAAAGTCGGAGAAGTCTACTTATAAGTGTGACAAACACGCAAGCACAGTCAGCTTCGCATGAAACCAGAACCTTGGCCACGAACTGTAGAGAGTGCTGCTCAAGCGATAAAAGACTAGGGATGGCAATACGTTCAAGCATTACGCAGCTTAAAAACCTCTAGACAATTACCGGTACACTCCTGTAGGCTTCCTCCTAATGTATCCCCGCGTGCCAAAGCATAATGCAGTGCTGGATGAGGATTTTGCGAGCATAATGCAAGAATTCATGTTAGTATAAACTATAATTCCATGATTTCGCGAGCATAATCCGCCGGAGCCTACAGCTGGAGCAGTCAGGTTTTGATGCTTTCAGTGGATTTGAAAATTTCTTTGTTGGTCACTAGACCTCAGTACGGTCGGCTGGCGCAGTCACTCTGAACGCCGCTAATAATATGCAGTAATGTCTAATGTCTAATGTGACAGCTCGAAATGCGCGAAGCAGGTCCAGCTTGGCCCTAGGAGAGTAGAGGCTAGGTGTGACCTGAACCATTGAACCCAGGGCAAACCGCAACGTTGAACCATAATGTATCAACTCACAAAGTCAGCTGCAGGGGAAACCCCTCAATATTCCCCCAGCACCCTTTGAACTGGATACGGGTACATGTCTTTGAAAGACGCTAAAGTGCCCTGATTGGCTGGCGATGACAGGCGGGCAGATTTGACATGTATGTCCTGTACATGTCCATGCCACGGTCCTTAGAAAGTTCTAGAAGGACTGCATCAGCTCTAACCATGAGTATCCACACCAATAGGAGTTACTACTAGTACTGACTACTGTAGTCGCGACCCCGGGATGTAGGCAATACTCACTGCTCAACTAACCGGATACTAGTGTTATTTAGGTTTAGGCCTGTTTTGGAACTCCACTCTAACTAGAGCCAAACAACAACAACATTAATAAAGCATATTGAGTGATGTTCACATCTTTAACATTATTATGACTAAATTTGTGCAGTACGTACACGTGATCATGGCTTGTGGACAGTGGAATCAACAGGGCCAAAATCATGTGACCCATAGTTGCAGGGCTGGAACAGTGGAGTTGTAACAAACAATTACACGGCTGCCCTGTGATGCTGTACTGCTGCATGGTCGTGTGATGGAGAACACATCTATCAGTCCTTGTGCTAGTTAGTGGCTCATGCAAGGCCGGGTTCAAACTGTGCAGACAGTGTTGGACATCACTAGTACTTGAATTTGCAACACATGGCCCAGACATGCAGACATGCATATCCATGAGCACATGCGGATATGATCTTCAACGTACACAAAAACGTATGATTATGAAGGTGTTTGCAAGTACATTGTACATAAAACTGCTATTGCGAAATTCTAGAAATTCTAGGCGTTTCACAGGGACGCAATCCAATCCACTGTCACAGCTAGCCAGAGCTGTCCCAATCTGATAAGCAAGCGAAAGCGTGTTGCTGATCACGAGTCGTAGCAAGCATTCCCTCCGCGTCGATCTACCACACGGCAGCATACTGGCCTTGGCGTTGCGGAACGGGGACGCGTCGACGGGAGTCAGGATAGCTCAGCGGAGTTGTTTTCGAGAGTAGAGTGATTGTGGACAACACCTTACTTCATAGGGGAATAATCCAAAACACCACGACTTGCGTCATTGCAGGTGTTGGCATGTGTGCGTGATGTAGCTTCATCACAACATCGCTCTGGATTGTGTAGCAGGGAGTGGTTTGGGTACGACTGCCCTGGCCCCAGCATGCAGGGAATGCAAGGACGGTTACGTCTCCGATTAGGCACGGAAAAGTGGCGTCCTGTCATAACACCCTGACAGCGGAAGCATGATCTATGTATCACGGAGAACCCGGAATAACACCAGTGCGAGGGCGGAGGGTGTAGCTGGGGAGAGCTAACATATTGTACCGGTATACCAACACCGAGAACACAAACAGTATAGGACGTCATGGGTGCATAGAGGGTCTCGAGGATAAATAGACCTTGCAGCGCCTCGCACCTCTCAAAACTAGAACATCCAATCGTGTGAACACAATTAGACTAAAGTCGTGACCCAAGGCAGACGAAGAAAGGGTTCCTATGTCCTCCTGTTGTATTTCAGCTGCGAAGATCTTCAACAACAACGGAGCAGAGTCACCTGCTATTACTAGTGGCAACAGGCTGACGTCGGGCTCCACAAGCACAGCCCGGGTGCCTTCTCATCCTCGTCTCTATCGCGTTGGTCTCAGCCAGAGTCGTGAGCCGAGCAGACAGGAAGAAAGATGATGCAACCGGTAAGTGTACTATGCCAGCATTGTCTGCGCTCGTGTGTGTGTGTGTGTGTGCGCGCGCGCGCGCGTGTGTGTTCGTGGTGTCTGTGATTGCCTGTACATGTATGTGTGCAAGAGGAAGAAGAGGAAGGTGTTCTCGAAGTACAGTATTGCCAATTGTATGAAATATTGGTCGCGACTTTGGCGATAATTATAAGAAAGTTGGTTGCTTCCAACAGAAGTCGGACTTGTGCGGCCAACATGAGTAGCAGTGGACGTAAAGTCACTCACCTGTCTTGGAAAGACGCGAATTACCGATACTCGACGCAAACTGCACTGCATGAAGCTAGAGAGGAACTGCGACAGATATAGGAAAGGGTGGCCGGGCCTCGCTCACGTCAACGCTTCCCTATCCACTTGAGAGTTGAGACCGTTTTGAGTGAGATCTCGAGAGCAAGAATCTCACTGCCCCACTATTCTCGAACTCGTGATCATGATGATGATGATGCTGACGTGAGGGACAGATCTTGGTTTTCCCCACACCGACACAAAACGTGCCGTGCTCTGTAGATGTGGGGATAAGGTTATCATAAGCAGCCACTGCACTGCATTCCCGTCTTGCAGATCACACAGGGTTGTACTAGGCGGTGGATTAGACTTTAGAGCCCCGAATGCTGGCACGCGGTGACTGTCTCGATTTTGCTAAGTGAAAGCTGTTCAAAGATCATTGGTATCCATAGCGGTAACGCCTGCTTTGAAGTGCTACTGCCAATACTGGGAGATCAGGCAGGATCCACGTACCTCCTGCGGAGATCACGACGTTTTGCTCGATCCCGGCGGAGTTAGCAGCCTGATGTTCGCACTTACCGGTATCCACTAAAATGTAATGTACGTTGTACTGTGGACCCGTGGCCTACATTGTATACCTAAGACTAGAAAAATGGTATTACAGTGTAGTTGAAGCAGGGTAGGGGAACAGCCTTTCGACCATCTGTCCCTGCTATTCTGGGGAACAACATGTCATGCAGGACGGCGACATGACATGTCAGTGAAATGAAGACTCTTTGGCTCCTCCCCCTTTGATACTCACTTAGCCCCAGGCTGACCCGCCCGGTCTAGTGAGTACACACACACACGCGCGCGCGCGCGCGCAGTGTGAGGCAGTCAGTCAACATAACAACTACTTCAGAAGTTCAAAAGACAATAGTTTACATGATGTAGAGCTACGTCGCTGGTCTGCACACGCAAAACCTACAACGTACAAGTATGCCAGTACTAGTACATGACTGTACAGCCATGTACAGTCATGTACTAGTACTACACTACACTACAGTACTAGCAAGAGTACATAACTCTCGGTACTAGTACATACTGTCTGTACAGTCATGTACTAGTAGTACAAGCTTAGCCTCAGCTTGGTTGCTTGTCTTCTGAGGGTCATTTAGTTTTACTGTGGCAACAACCCAAGCCTCTTCTACGGCAAAATAAACACATTGAGTGGATGATTATGTTCCAGAGGGTCTGGAACATGCGCGCATCGCACTAGTACATGTAGCTTAGAGTAAGCTAAGTAAACTGTCCGTCGTGCAGCATCCAGATTCCAGAACATCCGCTACGTGACAATTATCTGCCTTCCAATGAGTTTTGTGTCACTTTTGACAAGGCGCCAACTCCCTGTCCCTGGCCGCAGCACACTGAGCACAGCTGTTGACAGACTCAGTGGTGTACTGCCTGCATGCTAAGTAACACATGGCATCATACAGGCTACAGCCTGTATGATGCCATTGGCTTAGGGCAGGCTACACTGATCAACAAAGATCTGGCGCAGACTAGTGTCTGTACTGTATACCATGGTAATATACTACTAGTACTAGTGACCATGGTGATGATGATTGGCACCAGGGTGTAGTAAAATACCGATATTTTACTACTCCCTGATTGGCAGAGATGGGCTCGCGTGCACAAGTCAGTGGTGTGGGCGAAAGTCTCCGTCTGCGGCTTGAGGCTGACAACAGGATAAGCGGGATCAAGTAATTAGTTTGTGCGGGTGTAAAACTGTTACGGCTTTCATCTTGTAATTGTACGGACAAAAATAACGCAGAACATTAATCAACGTGATAGCAGTAACAAGAATAGTGCATTAAGCATGTACGACAGTCATGTCCAGTGCACAGTCACGTGGATATTCATCCTGGCATTCTATTCTGCTCATGTGCGATACAGGATGAGAGGGAGCTGTTGATTGGCGATGTGGAAAGGCCAGAGACACAAGCGGAGAAGACAAGCTTTCTCGACAAATGGAAAGAAGGTAGGTGGAACAGATGCAATGAAGAAGCAGATGTGCTCAGTCCAACAGGGAACACATCAACTCACACCGTCACGCATGTACACACACATGCACGCGCACATGCACGCGCACACACACACACACACACACACACGCGCGCGCGCGCGCACACCCACACACCTCAGACCTCAGACCTGCTCATCGCGGAAGCGATGATAGCGAACAGCTATGTTAGACATAGCAACTTGTGCTGGGATTACACCATTCAACAGCTTGCAAGGCTGATGAATTGACCGCCACTATTTTTAGCCTGGTATCCACCACACAGCTGATTGAAGTGACTTTTTCTGGCCAGTGAATCCCTATTTTTCATTTTTCAATTTTTCACACACACACACACACATATACACACACACATACACATATACACACACACACACACACACACACACACGCGCCTCGAAGTATAACGCTGGAGAGACACATCTCCAGGAAGTCGTACCCAAACCAAATAAAGGCATTATGGTTTGGGTAGGACTTCCTGATGCTGACTTTAGCGTAGTGACATGCAGGCTGATGATCGACCCAATTGCTTTGAAACTGAGAGCCACGAAGTTCATATGTTAGCTGCTCTTGCTAAACAGTTCTTTCCTAATGCACAGTCATAGGATAGTCTTGTAGTTTCATGAGTAAAATTACATAATTACATGTATAGGAGAAGAATAATAATAATAACAACAATAATAATAAGAAGAAGAAAGGGTTTGCTCCCCACACCGGAGCTCGCGCTATTTCGCCGACTTTACTTGACACTTGACTGACTCACGACTCTCCGGTGTGGGGAGCAAACCCTTTCTTACAAATCATAGCCGAAGTCGCAACCACTACTTAATAATAATAATAATAATAAAACAGGTCGCGTAATGAAGCAGCATAACGATAGATGTGCAAAGTCATGATGCCTGGTCCGCTTCTGTCCTGGGTTCACTACCCCGTGCGTTGCAGCCGCGAGCAAAACCAGCTCAGGCTGAGAGTTCCTGTATAGGAGAGAGTATATGAAATCTATCTTTTCACTTTGTTTCACGATTGTATAAACATACTATGGAATGCGTACTTTATCATTGTGTTTTGCTTCACACGGCTTGCCTTCAGTCACTATATTCCACTAATGAAAGTGGTTCTGCTGTCTTTCGTTTTGCGCAGCTGCCACCCAGAAAGCATTCGAGTGGTCAAGCAACATCCTAAGCCACATGGTCCACCACGATACGGTGAAAGTGAAGCTTGTCGACGAGTCCTGCCTGGAGCATGGCTGTCACATTGCCATGCCCAAAACTCTTAGCATGATGGTCGGCTGCTCGGTGCCTCCCAGCTTACAGGACAGGATCATGCTATTCCATCATGGTAAGAAGCCACGCAAACACAGCAGCCACTAGGCTCTAGGCTAGCTTGCAGACGGCCTTCACTCCGCTCGGCATCGGGTACAAAAACTGGACCTTAAACGGTGGACAGTGTGGCCAATAGGGGTGAGCGCAGCACTCAGTGCAACAGCTACTGGTGTTACGAAATGGCCAGATGAGGCTTGTATTACCAGTACCCATATCTGCAGAAGATCAACATGTTCATCAGAACACACGTCATCATCATCATCATCTGCGTTGCCGAAAAAATAATAATAGTAAAATACCCAATGCTGTAGACAGCAAGCTGTTTCGGCCATAAAGGCCTCATCAGTACAGCTACGAGCTAAATAGGCCGAGCTAATAGTAAAATAAAATAATTAAAATAATAAACGGCATTATGCAGCTGTGTAAGCAGTAGATGCACAGTGTGACTGCCAGGCATCTCTGTCAGATGCCAACTGGCAATTCTCATGCAGAGACATACCAGTCCACGAAACGATATTGTCAGCGAAGGAAATCTTCGGACGACCACGCTTTCTCTTACCATCCACCACACCAAACATCACGTCACGTACAAGCTCGCAGCCAGATGGGCGGCATGTGTGCCCGAAATAGGTCAGTTTGCGTATCTTGACCCTGCTCGTACATGTATATGCTAGCGTTTTGTGCTTGGTCTATCCACTACCTACTGCACACGTAATGCATAATATCAGTGTCTGCTCCAGCGCCGGGTGAGCCGGGTAATCCACCCGGTTGGGCGGCGCTTGGACCCGGTTGAAAATATAGTACCGGGTCACCTGTGACCCGGTTGGTACTTTACACTTTCCGGAACTTTGAAAGGACTGACTACATGGCTTGTATGTGTCAGGTTATCCGACTCAGATACTTCTTCTTCTTTCGTAATTAATTTTTCTAATTCCTGTCCTCTCTTTTCTAAATGCGGCTTATCCATTCGCCTTTATATCATTGGGCCTAGTTCCCGTTTATTGTCCGAATTAAAATAAACCAACCAACCAGTTAAAGCATGTGACTCGGCTGGTGAGACAGCGCCAGGTACATGTGTGCCCGGCTCCGACCCGGTTGAAATGGTTGCGCCAGGTACACGTGTACCCGGCTGTCCTACAATCCTAGAGCAGACACTGAATATGCAAGCCTTGCTCGATAGTTTCAAACATGTCCTCCGCCCTGTTACCTGTTGTTATCCTCAAACATGTACAGGTATCGTAATACGCAATGGTAGCAGTGTCTACGTCATCTCCTACACAGACCCAGGCGATGATTATGAACCGGATCACCAACTACTGGGCACAGGTAGTGAGCAGGGCGGCATCGAAGAGACCGACGGCGACATATTCGGCGACTGGAGGCGGCAGCTGACGTACAAGAAGCGCGAGGGCCTCATCAAGCTGCTGAACCGCTCGGTGGTGCGGCCCGAGAGGTACTGCATCATCGTGCAGCCGCTGAGCGAGTTTTCGTACCAGGGTAAGTATATCCAGTACAACTACGGTGGCGGGGATGCGGAGTACCCGGACGGCGCAACGCTCAGCTTGGTCAACCCGTGCCGACCGGAGATGGAACGAAAAAATGCAGCCGCCGTGGCCCGGTTCTTCCTGAAGCACCCGCAGGCATTCGGTCACTACAGCATGTGCGACTGGAACTGCGAGAATTTCGCGACATTCGCACGCACCACCACACTGACGGCAGCGGAATTGGAGGCGAAGTTCGCCGAACTGCAGCGCAGCGGACGCACAGCGTTCAGCCAGGCGTACCTGGAGGAGAATAGCGAAACATCATCACGAGGCATTACCCGCTACCTGGAGCAAGGACTCAAAGTGATCTTCACCATTGTCGAGATTGACCTGCAGCACGACTGCAGTCCGCCGTCGTCACACCCGTCGTCATCGTCTGAAGAGGAGGACAGCGAGGGCAGTGAGAGCAGCCAGGGAAGTACCCCATTGCCCAGCGACACGGACGACAGCTGCGACGAAACACCCCTGTGATTGAATGCACCGGGCTGGGCAGCCTGAGAGGATCATACAAAGGTTCAACCGACTGCACTGCCGTTGTTACGCTGCTGCTGTTTGGTGTAAGCAGGTGCACACACCACAGGGGTAGCTACACACGCATGCAAACATTGGACTTCAAGTTCCAAGGCAGTATCGTATTGAGCCAATCGAACGCACTACATGTCTCTGATCTCATCACTGTGCCCATCTATGCACAAGGAGCACGCAAAATAACTGATTCTTACAGTATCAGCAGCACCGACAGGAGATGTAGCCATTCCTGCGACTTGACAAGGAGCCTAATATATAACCTCACCCTCTGCAGGACCCCCCCTGCCCTGCAGGACATGTTTATTACCCGAGCTTCTGCAGTACACCCCCCCCCCCCCCTCCCCTTGCCCCACAGGATATGTTACCCTAGCCTCTGCAGTACCCCGCCCCCCCCCCCCTTCCCCTGCACTTGAAGTATGGCTTTGAACAGCGAGCAGGGGCACTGACGCATGAGCTCATGGCTGTACTCAGTGTACTGACCACTGTCTACATGTGCGTTTACTAGTACCCATACGACCAGCATAACATTGAGCAAGAACTGGTACTACAACTTTAATGCACTGCCGCTCTTTGATCCCCAATCTTCACAACAACTCATACTGCATCATGCCAACTAGGATCACCGTTTTAGTTTTTTAGTTTTTTTTTTAGTTTTTTTTTAGTTTTTTTTACTTCTCATACCAATATTGTCTGTCGACTGAGCAGCATGCAGTCCACCAATGTGACCATGTGTCATTACTAGCCGCAGATAGAACACTGTGCTCGTACATGCAAGCATAGTATTGCATACAGTGCACTCACAGCATACTTGAGTATAATTATTATGATATTGACTCTCAAGAGTCAACTCTCCTTTGTGTTTTCATCGATTCACCGTGGCTGCTCTACAGAGCTTCAAAGGACTTCTAGTCATGTCAAATTATCCTGCATATTTCAACATAGTGATGTTTGACAAGATAATTTTTTTAATTGATTACGAAAGTGAGGTTCGAGTTCATTATTCATTTTAATTTCAAACTACAAGTAAAAATTCTTATTCTCTAGCAATTCCAACATCAATATCCACTCATTATATTGGATACCTATGAGCAGATGGAAGTTGTAAAAACAAGTTCAGTATTAACAGAACATGATCAGAAGTGGACAGTATTGAAATCCATTGTCGTGGGAAAGTTTGTCTGAACCGTATAATATCCACAACCAACAGGAAAGAAACCAGACTTTAGCTGCAAAGCTCGCAGTCCGATGCTGATTCCAAAACTATATTTAAAAAAGGACAAAAACAGCAAGAGTGCAGTTACCGGTAGCCAGGCCATTGTGATGAGACCGACAAACAAATCGGCGGCTGTAGGTGCTAGGACAGACTGACACAGTAGGTGAAACTTACGCCACACTACACGTGTTGCTATACAGGCCCTGAGCAGCAGCGGTACAGGCCCTGAGCAGCAGCGGTACAGGCCCTGAGCAGCAGCGGTACAGGCCCTGAGCAGCAGCGGTACAGGCCCTGAGCAGCAGCGGTACAGGCCCTGAGCAGCAGCGGTACAGGCCCTGAGCAGCAGCCGTACAGGCCCTGAGCAGCAGCGGTACAGGCCCTGAGCAGCAGCGGTGTGCCGATATCGTTAGGATCCCGCGCTGCTCGCCTGAAGTGAAAACTGGGCACACAGCAAACACAGGAAAGAGAGAACCCACATCAAGAACCAGTACAGTAAACCCTGGTGTAAGTGACCTCCGGGTTGCTCTTAAGCTGTGTTCACAACTGGCGCGTGTACGCGTGAAACCACGCGTTTGTGCGTACTTTTGCTGGCTTTTGGGGCGCCATGCGTACGGAAACGCGCCGAAATGGAACTTCCAACATGTTGGAATTTTCAGCGCGTATCAGGCACGTACCAGCGTACATGCCAGTCACATTGACCGGCGGGGTCAACAAATTAGTACTCGAAGGTGTCGCACGCGCTAAATACGACTCGGATTGCTGTTTTTTTGTGAAAGCCTGAGCGCGCGTTTGGGCACGCATGAACCGCAAGCGTACCGCGTACACGCGCCAGTTGTGAACACAGCTTTAACGACCGTTTTTTCATGCACAGACAGTTTTTTTTTTTGAACTTTGTTTTACTTCGCAAAATCCAAACGGGAATTTCTTCCCAATGACAAGGTAGCGAAGATCTTAAGAGGGAAGAAAAAAGAGAGAGAGAGAGAAAAAAGGAAAGAAAAAAGTGTGTATGCACTGGAAATGATAGTCAGCTGGAAATCGGATCCATTGTCAAACATGGCATTTGCTACTGTTGCATGTAGTCAACGAGCAATTGCGTAGGGTACTGCTGCAGCTTTGAAGGTCTCCAGCGTTGTGCTGGAGCGGACGTCTCCAGGTAATCTGTTCCATTTACATGTAGTTGTACACAGAAACTGCGGGACCTGGTTCTAAAGACCACCTGGCATTAACGACCGCTTTTGCTTGCACCGTGGGGTGGTCGCTTAAACCAGGTTTCACTGTAACTGCAGCTGTCACAGCTACTCGTAATAGTATCTTAGCCACACGTGCACTTGATAGTGGCTGGTAAGGTCATGCCCTGCCCCAAAATGGGATATTATTCATAATACCCCATTTTACGGGTTTCCCCTGCACCCTGGCTTCTATCGGGGAGTCGTACTACTCCCTGGCTTCTACGGGATAATGATTACTAAAAAAATCATGTTATGGGCTCGTTTGAGCTGTGTGTGCAACTATTTCTAAACACTAAACTGAACAGTCGTCGGTAATGTATTCGCGAGGTGAGCCTCCGCAACAGGCTTCAGCCGCGATAGCTCCGATGGAATGGAGGGGTACATGAGCAGTAGGCAATTGTACTCTGCGTGACGGGACCCAGTCCCCTGTTCGGCAAGGAGACCCAGTCTAACACGAACGCACATCATGCTGGGGGGCGACATGTTCCTCCAGCAAGTGCAGCGTTGGAGTGATGTGGACCATGTTGCATGCGACCAGGTCAGATCTGGCAAGGGTAGTGAGCAGTCCCTTGTGAACAACACAGTTGCCAATAATGGCACCGTCGTGGTATGCCCGCCGTTGGAAATACATGTAGCGCTCTTACAAGTACAGGATTGGCTCAATGTTTGTCTCGCATGGTCCACTCGGGTCCTTCCCCTGTCTTTGGATGCGGCTTGCCTTGGATACCTCGTTGCCTTGGATACCTCGTTGTCTTGGATACCTCATTGTCTTTGTGGCTTGCACCTGTTGCAAGGGGTTATCAGCGCCTGCAATAACCCTACGTTCATCATCTGTCGGAGCTTTCCACCGTACTCGGATGTTGGAGCACAAATCAACAAGACCGTGACCGGCAACGCCTTGCTAAGTACCATGCAATGCAACAAAGTGCAAGTGTTGCTGGAGAGAGTGGCGGCCCGCTGCGACCTCTCTCTCTCTCTCTCCCTCCCTCCCTCCCTCCCTCTCTCTCTCTCTCTCTCTCTCTCTCTCTCTCTCTCTCTCTCGCTCTCTCTCTCTCTCTCTCTCTCTCTCTCTCTCTCTCTCTCTCTCTCCTCCTCCTCCTTGTAAAAATTAAGGACCACGGAGCAGGCACTATTTCCTTTAGAATCTTACCTGAGAACTTGAACCGGATGCCGGTCTAATCTGCTCCTTCATCATCATCATACTGGCTATGCTTCCACACAACCATTGCCAGCTGGAAAACTAGTACTCTGCGACCTGATTGTGCAAAACAAACGACACGCACACACACACACACACACACACACACACACACACACACACACACACACACACACACAAACACACACGCACACATGCACACACGCACGCACGCACGCACGCACACACACACACAAGCACACACACACACACACACACACACACACACACACACACACACACCAGAACCTTGCTCAAGTGTTCCATAATGCTAGACACTTGAAATCTAGAGCACCATAAGCAACAAATGGGCAACTGGAAAAAAAACTGTGTTCACTGCATTGAGCTCTTGGTGCAACCAATCCTCACAAATCCCAAAACAAACTTTACAGGTTACATAGAATACCCCAACATCTCAGTACTGCCTTTACTGCACAAATCAGTAAGGTCGCTGGTTTCACCACACTGAAAAGCCAGCATCTAAGCCTGCACTGTGTGCGTGCATCCTTACCGGTTGATGACATTGTGCTGTGTGCAAGCCAAAGACGAGCGAATGGCCATGGAGAGTTGTCAACGCTGTCAAGAAACTGGAGCACTATCGCAACGTTACCCAATACAGCCCATTTGAAGCCAGCTACCTACACAGCTAAATCAAACATGAGTGGCACGGCGTATTAGTAGTTCGCCGCCGCATCATGACAGCCGCACCATGCGGCCCTCCACGGCAAACCGGCTGGAGTGGGGCTTCTGCGACAGCGCGGTGTGCACTTTGTCCGAGCGCTCGCTCATGTAGCCGACGAAGAACGATTCGGTGGTGTGGCCCCACGCCACCTCCACGCTCTTGCCGTTGTGCCCGATAGCCAATACCCCACCAAGCGGAGCGGACACGGTTGATAACCGTGGACAGTCTAAGAACGCCTGCATGCATTGCCGAATACCATCAAGGGCCTGGCCATCAGCATCGTAGATCTTGCTAGCACAGGTTTGTGACATCTGAGCTTTGATCAGGTGCTCGCCAGTACCTGACGTACTCACGGCAACTTTCACGGAACTATCAGCAGCAGCTGCGGCGGCGGCATTGGTGCTGCTGGAACTACTGCTGCCATTGCTCGTTTCAGCACCACTACTCTCATGCTCAGTGTCAGCAGGCGGTGACGCCTGTGGCTGTGGCTGCTTCTCCCGACGTTCCTCTGCCCAGCAGCCACAGCCGAAGAGTGCCGCCTGCCCAATACGGCCGCTCTCCTTCAGAGCAAGACCACCGGACGATACCGCGGCCCACAGCACGCCGTTCCGGTCGAGGACTACCGCACCGACGGTGTCTAGACGCGGTGGGTCATTATCATCCATGACATCATCAGCATCATCGTCTATGACATCATCATCATCTATGACATCATCATCATCGTCTATGACATCATCATCATCGCCGTCATCATCGTCCTTGTAGCCGGCACCCTGGCTGCCGTCATCCGCGCAGTCAATGTCGTCGTCGAGATTGTCCTCCACGTCACCAGCACACGCACTGCTGTCGGACGCGGTCGCCTTTAGCGCCGCTGCAGTACGCTCTTCCACAATTTTTTTGTAGCGTGCGTACGCTTTCTGGGTGCGTGTGGTGATAAGCAGTCTGGGATCTACCAGTGGAAATCCCGATCTCGCCGCCCATGCCTGGCAACCAGCAGAGCACATCATTACCGGCGGCACACGGCCGTCGGGATCGGCCCAATCACAGCTCTGTCGAAGCACGGCCGATGCAACGGAGCACGGGTTGGGTAGCCGTGACACGCACGCGACAGCGCCGAAAGCTCCCCCGCGCGAGCACATCACGCTGGCGTCCAGCTCCACCGTACCGTCCATGGTCAGATTGGCACCGCGTCCGGCGTTCGTCATCTTGGCGTCCTCCAGGCACGCCATGCACGCGTTCACTGCCTTCACGCTATCCGCGTCAGTCTTCAGCAGGCGCATGGCACGAGAGCAGGCTTTCTGAGCCAGCTTTGTGTAAGTCGCACGTTTTGCCCTCGAATGACTGCCAGCTCCCAAATGAATAGCAACGAATGCCATCCTGCTCCAGCCCAGTGGCAAGGGCAATGTCAACGTACTGGGTTTGTTTTTCAGGGATCCTAGAAATGTTCAGCACACCAAGAAATTCAAGTCCATTTAGAGTTGAAGTACTATTCCTGTCTTACAAGTTCCTAGTTACAAGCATGCGTAACAACGTCGGTGCATTCTGTATTCCTGGTTTAACGGTACATGTCAAGAAGCCTGGTCTGCTGTTCGAGAAAAAACACACACAGATAATTGTCCCCATTCGGTCGAGAAAATAGTTTTGATTATGAATGAATGGCAAAACTGAACGCATGCCTTTTGTTCTGTTTTTTTTTTGGAGAGGAAACGTTTTCGAAGCGGACGTCAAGCTCATGTGGCCACGTGGGATGAAAATGACGACGTCGGCTGATTTTCATGACGTCGTCGCTTTCAAAACGTGAGGTCATAAAATTGGGCGAAAGGAAAAACAATAAATTTTGTTTGGGAGGGCTAATTTTGAAGTATTCCCACCCTTCCTACTACTACTAGTAGACAGCTGTTTCTCTTCCTGATCGTGCTTGGCAAGCTCCAGGAGGTAGCGGTAGAATGGCGCTGCGTGGAGTCAAGGTGCTGGAGATGGCGGGGCTCGCCCCAGCGCCGTTTTGTGGGATGATTTTGGCTGGTCAGTTCATTGTTGACTCCTGGAAAAGGCGAAACGTTCGTGGGCTGAGTGTTCTGTTTCTGCCGATGGGATTCCAACAATTCTATATGTGCAGACTTTGGCGCTACTGTCATACGTGTAGATCGTCCACAGGAACACACACTGGATACATTGGCAAGGTACCACCATACTTACTGCACATGGACATAAGTCATTGTGCTGGGATACTTGCTTCTTAGCTTTATGTGGGGTGACGTAGTGGGCACGACAGGTTGGCACAAGGCGGCTACCACAATCCTCTCACGAAATATCAAACACACACACATACACACACACACACGTACAGAAACACACCCCACCTCCTCCACCACCACCACCGCCACCACGCACACAGACCCCACCCCGTTCTCCTCAATGAAGATGCTCTGAACGAGGGACACTGACGTACCGATTCATATAGCCATGCTGACCAAGGCCCTACCAACCAGCTTGTCGTTGTAGTCTGGAGAACTGTTCCTTGCGGTGCGCCCTCTGCCTTGTGAGGAGCTGCCGTACTACCCCTCCTAGCTTGTAGTTACATGTAGTTTTGAAGTACAGTGGAGATTGGATATAACGACACTCCTTCGGGAGAAGACAAATGTCGCTATATTCGATCTGTCACTAAACCTGATTTTGACATTTAGTATGCAAATATGCATATCAAAATGACAGAAATGTATTTCAGATATGCATGTGCATAATTCTCTCTCTCTCTCTCTCTGTCTCTCTTTCTCTCTCTGTCTCTCTCTCTCTCTCTCTCTCTCTGTCTCTCTCTCTGTCTGTCTCTCTGTCTCTTTCTCTGTCTCTCCCTCTGTCTCTCTCTCTCTCTCTCTCTCTCTCTTTCCATCTCTCTCTCTTTCTCTCTCTCTTTCTCTCTCTCTGTCTCTCTCTCTCTCTCTCTCTCTCTCTCTCTTTCTCTCTCTGCTTATGTGTTTTCTATATGTATCCTCACGTTTGATGGTCAATCGTGGCATTGACAAACCATTTCAGAGGTAAACGTTCGATTGCTGTCAATCTGAAGGAGAAATCTGGAGTCGAAGTTGTTCGCCGACTGTGCAAAACCGTGAGTGACTTTCTGTGTGCACAGGGCGGGTAGTAGTGGTGCATGCAGTAGATTTTACAAGTACAATAGCAACATGTTGTATTTTCCTGGGGGGGGGGGGGGGGGGGGGGGAATAGTCTCTAAAGGATAGCCTTTTTACTGGAAACCCTAGTATGGTGGTATCATTGTATGTGTGGCATCTTGTGCTGGTGTGTGTGTGTGTGTGTTTGTGTGTATGTGCGTGTGTGTGGGTGTATGTGTATGTGTGTGCGCGCACGTGTGTGTGTGCGTGTGTGTGCGTGTGTGTGTGTACGCGTGTGTGTGTGTGTGTGTGTGTGCGCGCGCGCTGTGCAGGCAGATGTCGTTCTCGAGCCGTATCGTCCTGGTGTAATGGAGAAGATGGGCCTGGGACCTGCAGAGCTTATGCAAGAGAACAAGCGCTTGATCTATGCCAGGCTAACCGGCTTTGGTCAGAAAGGTTAGTCTTTCTTCTGCTACTGTAAGAGTCGAATCTATAACAGGGTGGGAGAGAGAGAGAGAGAGAGAGAGAGAGAGAGAGAGAGAGAGAGAGAGAGAGAGAGAGAGAGAGAGAGAGAGAGAGAGAGATGGAGAGGGAAGAGAGAGAGGTGAAACTTTGGGCCTGCTAAGTGGGGAAATCTTGCAAATCGTTAAACTTTAGACTTGTCACACTTTCATCTCTTACAGTATGCGTTCGCAGAATACAAGCTCTATAGTCTTGACATGTACGATTGTGTTTTTAATCAAGGGCTTTCTTTCTTCTTTCTCTTTCACCTAAGTATGTAAATCTGTGTTTGTTGCTTTGCGTTTTGTCTTTGCCATGCAGGTGTCTTTTCCCAAATGGCTGGTCATGATATCAATTACTTGTCAATGTCTGGCATGCTATCTGTGAGTTCATAAGTGTGTGTGTGTGGGGGGGGGGGGGGGCATGCGTGCCTGCCCCAGAAGCCCGCCTTTTCCCGCTTGTTTCCAGTTTTTCCCTCGTCGCTCTGTTGGTTCTTTTGTTGGAGATGTCCTGACATTTGACATAATGTACTGTAGTATACCGCAGTGTCTGGTGCTAAAGCCCGTCTCATATAAAAGCCTGTTTTGAATACAAGCCTGATTTTCAAGATACACTGTTGGCCCAAAAGCCTGGTTTTAGTGTTGACACACATAGAAATACCTGGTTTGAATATACACCTGATGTGAATAGAAGCCTAGCCCTGACATCGGCTTCTACAAGAGTAAACCCGGCTTTAATACACGACATTACGGAATGTACGATATTGGGCTGCCTGCCACCATGCAACTTGTGTTCAATTTTATCCTGGCTTTGTACATGCGTGTGCGTGCTTTCAACCTGTGTCTCTCTTCTATGTAGATGCTTGGTCGGCATGGTGAGAAGCCAACACCACCCATTAACCTGGTACGGTGAGAGAGCTATTCACTACATTGCCTTGGTCGTAGCAATGCCATATTGGCTGCTGGTGCTATTCAATCATAGTCGCTGTGCTGTGCGTGTCTGATTCTCACGTTCAACTGGTGTTTCAATGCGCATTCTCCAGGGCCCTTTTGCTTCCACTTAGTCCCAGGCGTCAGGGAGAGAGGGAATGGGTCGCATTTCGACTGCCTTGTCCGCATGTGTATGCACTGTGCAAACACTGTGCAAACACATGCCCTTGCACACCCAGCCAGCAGTAGGCTTCATGCTAAGCAGCAGAGTTTTTGGTCAGTTCCTGCATACCGGTCCGCCCACACTAGCTGCTGTTCTGGACGGATCTTCATTTGCTATGTGTGTGTGTTGTTGTCTCGATGTGCAGCTAGCTGACTTTGCCGGTGGTGGTCTGATGTGTGCCCTGGGTATTACTATGGCTTTACTGGAGAGAGCACAGTCAGTAAGGTTTCTAATCTGTATTCTCACGATGGGGGAGTTAAACTCATCGTTGTACTACATGTCCAAGCGCGATTTTGGCAAGTGATAGATGCCGATAGTATAAATGGTAGATGGTGTAGAAATAGCAGCTACCCTCAGTTCTTTAGTTAGGATGAAGGACAGATTGTGAGAGTACCGTAAAGTACCGCCAGAGCGCCCCACCATCTCGTCCTTTCGTGGCCGCAATGTGGAGGTGGATTCCTGTCTGTAGGTCATACGTCACGGACCTTGTACAAACATTGCACATTGTGCAGTCAATCCGTACCCAGTTTACCTTCGAGCTCCACATAAAAGCATACCAAGTGTGACCTTAGTACACGAAGGTTCTCACATCGTACAAACTTAGTAGCATTCTGCCATACGATTTTCTTCCTTGGCTGTAAAATCAAGGTGGGGCGCTCTCGCGAGACGGGGCGCTCTGGCGGTACTTTACGGTACTTGTATTGAGGTTTCAGCCCTCCCCCCCCCCCCCCCCCCCCCCCCCCCATTGGCATAATAACTTTGCACCAACTCAAGTCCTCAAGGTGTGTTTCCGTATCCAGTAGCTGTTTCCATAGTGTAGCGGTTATCACGTTCGCCTAACACGCGAAAGGTCCCCGGTTCGATCCCGGGTGGAAACATCTCTTTTTTTTAGGGATGAAACGATCATCCATTTCTTCTTATCGAGTACCGTTTATTATTAACGATCGAGTTATCATAAAACGAGTATGCTGAATTTGTATGACAAATAAATTTTACTGGTCTCCGGGGAATATGTGCATGACACACTGGATCCCAAAAGTGCGAAGGTGCCTAGAAAAAGGTGTGAATTTTGTCACCTTGGATGACGCGTGCTGGAGTTGACTTTGCAGACAGTGCGACTTAGCTAGTACTATGCACATGTACACTGCACATGTACAAGTACTGCATACTCGATGACAGCATAACGAGTAGCGATCACAGAGATAACGAGTAAGTTCCGAGTAATCGGTGTAATCGTTTCATCCCTAATTTTTTTTTTCTTATCCTTGACTTGAGAGCTATTGATTCTCAGGCTGTGTGTGGAGAATTTTCAATCCAGGTTTAAGGTCTGTTTTCTTTTTTACTGAAAACACAACCTACTCGGAAGAAGAGGGGGAGAGAAGCAACAGAACCACACAACAATGGGAAGAGTATGGTCTCCAAGAAGCAACCTGTGCTGGTGATGCAAGCCAACAACGCCGACCTGTGGTCTGAGCGTTACCACGAGCTTGTGCATCATGCGTTAAAGGGGAAGTATACCCTAAAATCAAATTTTCACCAGTTGTAGTCTTCTAGGTGCTGAGTCGAATGGTCTTGGTCCGAGGAAGCTGAGACGCTCCCTTCCTACTTGAATCCCAATCGAACTCGCGCACTTCCACCGAAACTGGGTGACTGCGCCCTGCTAGATGGGGATTTGTATGCAAAATGTCACTAAAAGCGCCATTTCGTTCTTATAAAAGCACGGATGACCGCGATTGGCCCATATGTTGTAGTCTTTTGGACACTGAGTCGACTGGTTTTGGTCCGAAAAGGCTGCGATGCAGCGTTCCTCCTTTATTCCCAATCGAACATGGTTGAACAAGCGGTCACGTGCTCCTGGGTGCCCAAATCACCTGGTCACCGCGCCAGCAGGCGACAACTTTCACACCAAGGTTCAACTCGAGTTCAACTCGAGTGACAGGACTGCACCCAAAAAAGGTCAAACAGGCTAGTAAGTTGTACCCTGCAGGCATGGTGACCAGGTGACTGGTGTACGCAGGAGCACGTGACCGCTTGTTCAACCATGTTCGATTGGGAATAAAGGAGGAACGCTGCATCGCAGCCTTTTCGGACCAAAACCAGTCGACTCAGCGTCCAAAAGACTACAACATATGGGCCAATCGCGGTCATCCGTGCTTTTATAAGAACGAAATGGCGCTTTTAGTGACATTTTGCATACAAATCCCCATCTAGTAGGGCGCAGTCACCCAGTTTCGGTGGAAGTGCGCGAGTTCGATTGGGAATAAAGAAGGAAGGGAGCGTCTCAGCTTCCTCTGACCAAGACCATTCGACTCAGCACCCCGAAGACTACAACTGGTGAAAATTTGATTTTAGGGTATACTTCCCCTTTAAGAAGAGAGTTTATAGCGAGAGGAGAGAAGACTGCCCAGTGCATCATATGAATGCTCCAGTCAATCTGTGCTCATGGCGGGTTAAGACTGGACCCGGGTCGAACTCAACCCGGCTTCAAAACTCTCATGTAAACACAGCCTCGCTCGCTCCCTTCGAATTGCCGCTCATTGTGACGTGGACCAGCGCTGACTGCTCCGTGTTTTACTTGCGTTTGTGTTTCTCTCCAGGGCAAGGGACAGGTTATTGACGCCTCCATGGTAAGTGCCCGGCCGCCCTCCCTCTCATGTCCTGTATGCCGAGAGGAACCCAATGAGAGCTGGAAGGGGGATAAGCTACAGTGCAATACATGTAGAGTAAAACCTGTAACTAAAGACCACCGTGACTAGCGACCAGCCTGGTACTACAGTAAAACCTGTAACTAAAGACCACCGTGACTAGCGACCAGCCTGGTACTACAGTAAAACCTGTAACTAAAGACCACCGTGACTAGCGACCAGCCTGGTACTACAGTAAAACCTGTAACTAAAGACCACCGTGACTAGCGACCAGCCTGGTACTACAGTAAAACCTGTAACTATAGACCACCGTGACTAGCGACCAGCCTGGTACTACAGTAAAACCTGTAACTATAGACCACCGTGACTAGCGACCAGCCTGGTACTACAGTAAAACCTGTAACTAAAGACCACCGTGACTAGCGACCAGCCTGGTACTACAGTAAAACCTGTAACTAAAGACCACCGTGACTAGCGACCAGCCTGGTACTACAGTAAAACCTGTAACTAAAGACCACCGTGACTAGCGACCAGCCTGGTACTACAGTAAAACCTGTAACTAAAGACCACCGTGACTAGCGACCAGCCTGGTACTACAGTAAAACCTGTAACTAAAGACCACCGTGACTAGCGACCAGCCTGGTACTACAGTAAAACCTGTAACTAAAGACCACCGTGACTAGCGACCAGCCTGGTACTACAGTAAAACCTGTAACTAAAGACCACCGTGACTAGCGACCAGCCTGGTACTACAGTAAAACCTGTAACTAAAGACCACCGTGACTAGCGACCAGCCTGGTACTACAGTAAAACCTGTAACTAAAGACCACCGTGACTAGCGACCAGCCTGGTACTACAGTAAAACCTGTAACTAAAGACCACCGTGACTAGCGACCAGCCTGGTACTACAGTAAAACCTGTAACTAAAGACCACCGTGACTAGCGACCAGCCTGGTACTACAGTAAAACCTGTAACTAAAGACCACCGTGACTAGCGACCAGCCTGCTACTACAGTAAAACCTGTAACTAAAGACCACCGTGACTAGCGACCAGCCTGGTGCTACAGTAAAACCTGTAACTAAAGACCACCGTGACTAGCGACCAGCCTGGTACTACAGTAAAACCTGTAACTAAAGACCACCGTGACTAGCGACCAGCCTGGTACTACAGTAAAACCTGTAACTAAAGACCACCCTGACTAGCGACCAGCCTGGTACTACAGTAAAACCTGTAACTAAAGACCACCG